CTTTTTTTTTTTTTTTTTTTTCAGTGTATTTGTTGCATGTGGCAGTCGGTCTCTGGTAGATAGACACTGACTGACACTTTCTGAAAGGCAAAATTATCTTGTTTTTTATTGAGGCATCTTATTTTAAGGAGGTGCCTTAATACTTGAGACGTGCTGTAAACACGGACTTTAACAGTACTTTTGGAAGAAAGGATAATATTACTGTACTTAAGGTAATAAGAATATGCATTGTAGTAACTTGGAGTCCTCGAGTGGAAGAATATGTGAATTTTTATGTGTTGCACACAGAACTTGCAAGGTTTTAGTCTGCGGTCAATCTTTGTGTTGCAACAGAACAACAGTTTCAACAGTGTTTATTTCTAGTGTTTCTCCAGTACAATCAGGAAAAATTTAAGACTTGCCCTTGAAGAACACATATTTCAGACTTCCATCTCCCGAGAAGTTGAATAGTTGCTTAGTTTTCTGAGTTGCTGCTGTTTTTCATATTTGGAGGCATTTCATAATGGAACAAATTAAACTGATGGCTGAAAAAAAAGCCCCACATCTAGAAACCTCTACATTTTTCTTTCTTCGGGTTTTTGAAATGTAGGTCAGTGACGAGTGCCACTGTTCTTTGAGAAAGCTTTCACATGAGTGGAGTGGGAGGCAGAGGATGTGGAGGGAGGCAGAAAAGTCAGTGGGAGGTATTGGCTGGGAGAGGAGGCAGGAGAAGTTCCATAGAAGAGATTGGGGGAGATAAAGAGAAATTAATTGTTCTGCAGGAACTCAGCTTGTATTAAAAAGATTTTCTTTTACTGTCCCTTATGGCTATGAAGAATATCTGTGCAGTATGAAAGCAGATTAGAAAACACAACACTCTGAGAATAGCATGTTTGCAGAAGATTAAGCTTGAGGTGTGAGCTTTCCCTTTTGTTTTAATTGATGTTCACTCATATACACCAGTGTGATGATTTAACGGTGAAAATTTCTAGGGTCAGTAATGTGAATCTGGAGTAAATATATCTGTAAGTATCTGTGTGGGGGTGGGAAGGTGGCTATAAACATGCATAAAGGACTAAGTTTGGGAGGAAAATCAGGGATTGTAAATAGCAATGTATACACCACTGTCAGCATGTACTGAGTTTCCTTTCCTGTAGCATAACAAATCAGACAAAATTGTAGCAACAGTTAATGCACTTTATTAACATAACACTATTTTACTTTGTTTTTTTCAGGATATAGTAGATCCTCGGAAACTGCCTCCTATGGTTGGCTGGAAGAAATACCCACTGTTTTTTGGGACTGCAATATTTGCTTTTGAAGGAATCGGTGTGGTAAGTGTTGAATTTGTGCTACAGTGGGATACAGGCAGTTTTACTCCTATTGTTATTTAAGTGTTTTTGTAAAAGCACGAATCTCCCGTGTTGATATGAAAAGGGTTAATTTATCTTGTCAGTAAGGCAAAATTTGACACAATATCTCCATCAAAGGGGAGTTTGGTGAATACCAATTGCTACTTGGACACATAGCACCTTCCTAAATTACAAGGATAACTTTCGTTCCGAATAGATTGAGACAGCAGTGTAATAATAACTGCTATCATAATATGCTATATAATAATATAATACTCAGCTAATAATATGATGATACTATAATTATAATGATTCAGCAGCTTAGTTTTAGGTGATGAGTATGTAAAAATAGAAACGTATTCAGCATCCTTCTGTTCCTTTGGGATCACAGAGGACAAAGAGATTTATTAGAAATGTATCATTCTTCCTGCTTCAAACTTATCTATAGATGTGACTTGATAGAGATGAGCATGATAAGAAAAGGATAGAAATTTCAGATTATTTTTTTAATTCATGGCCTCCTGACAAAGAAACTCCATTCCTCATTGTTTCCTGGAAGATATCAATTAACTAGATTTATAACTCTGAAAATTTAGTTTTTGAAAGTGGATCTTTTTTATTCTCTTACTCACTTCTTACTGTTTCTAAGGGCTTTCGGATTGCGTCTCACACTAGCAAAATTTGCAAGATAGTTAGTGCTTTTGTTCCACATGGCATATTTAAAAAAAAAAAGAGAGATAGCTAAAGAGGCTTCTGGGAATGGTAGGTCATAATGTTTTTAAACTATTGGGAAAATACTATATACACTTTATTTGTAACTAATATAATTACATACTTCAGCAACTGTTAGTGTATGCTTAAAACTAATAACACACTAAAAAAACCCCATCCCCAAATCTCAATCAAACCAACTGCAAACCAGTGTGCAGTTAATCTGAAATGATTGTCCATCATTGAAATAACACAGGAGAGATTTCAAATATTATGTTTTTTATTTTAGTTTCTCTGGAATTTTCAGCTCTGAATTAAATCAGAATATTTCACTTTGCTGCTGTATTACCACTGCCAGAAGAGCCGAATAGCAAAAGCTTTAACTAGGAGTTCGTTAAAAAGCTTTTTTTTTTATGTTACAAAAGTCTGTTTTCACACACAGTGTATGTGGATCTAGTGACTGTGAATCTCCATTTTTCAGACTGTTATCAGCTGTTTCTCAAACTGTGAACTGACCAATGCAGAGATTTAACTGCCATATATCAGAGTGTATCTAGACACCTTGCCTTTTGTCATCTGGAGGTTCTGTCACAGGAATCAGCCATTTGTCTGGGCTTGTTTGATGCCTTCAGGTCTTGGGCAAAAAAACTCTCATGCTCAGTGGATCAGACAGATTGGGCTACGCTGAGCTTGTTGCTCTTAAATTGTATAGTCTGCCTGGGACAGACCGCACTTAGTGCATGGGTGTAAATGCAGGTTGTGTGCAGTAGGTCTGATACGTGTCCCAGTTGTATTAGATTTGTTGCTCATGTGCTGTGTAGCACGTGGGTGTGTATTCATAGCCAGGAAATCCCAAATGAGAGCACTGTGAGCGTCAGGAAAGTGTTGGAAGGCTTACCATTTGGTACCGGTTGTTTATTGAAGTATATGTAGGGAATGGATTTATGTTAATTATCTTCTGGCATATTAGATCCTGCATTTAGAGAGCTCCTTTAATTTACATCAGCAGTAGTAACATTGACTTCTGATGTAAACCTTTAAAGAACCGCACAGAGCGTTGAGCTTGATTGAATCCCTGGTTGTTATTAATGACATCTTTAAGAACTCCAAACTTTTTTCCTTCTTTTATTCAAGAGCGGATAGAATCATAGAATGGTTAGGGTTCACTTGCATTGTACCTTTAAAACATAAAAATATTGCTTGATATTATTAGATATTAGCATTAGGCATTTATTGGATCTTTTTCTGTATAGGTTGTCTCAATTTCTTACTCGGTCATAGTTTACTTGCACTCTTAATTTGCTTTGAAGAGTGTTTTAGTTTTTTGACTTTGTTTACAAATTAATTAAATGTTTATGTTCATTATGGTTTGATATACTTTGTGTGCGTGTCCATTACACAAGACCATTAAAATAACGTCACTACTTTTACAAGTTAAAAATAATGTAAAAGTGAAAATCTAGAGCTTAATGTTTCTTCCTTATATGCAGAATGATCTTAATACATTTCTGCTTCTCGGGGTTACGTTGAACATGCAGAATGTTTGCTGTGCATTCTTGTGCTGTAGTTGCATGCACCATAGAGAAGACTCAAAGAAAAAAAGTATTTTATGGATTTGAATAATCAGAACTAAACAAAATTGTTGAGGCATGAAATAAAAAAAAATAGTAAAGCAAAGCAAGACAGACATTTCCACTTCACATAGTTAATATTTCCTACAATTCTTGCTGATTGATTTAATTGATAACTAGGTATTACAGCTCACTAAGTTACCATCGTAGACTGAACTGTGATATTTGTGTTTGTGACCTGTTGCAAATAAGAAGTGAAACACGTTTAAAATTCTTTCACGGAGATGTAAGCTGATGTGTTTTAATTCATGGTGCAATGGATTAAGAATGCTCACATACTCAACTGCTGTTGTATAGCTGATGTGTGATAACTCCTTACCCTGTGTTTTAATTACTGCCATTCCTAATCCATGTGGTTGTATTGTTTTGGTTAGGAAAAAGCCCTTGCTGTTTTATTAGATTTGCTCCTTACTCTGCTCTCTGGCTGCAGGCACCCAAATGGATTTACCTAATCTTGATCTTGTTAGAGACTTGATTTTAGATTTTATTCTGGAATATCTTGCGAATAACACTGATTACTCTGAAGGTATCTGAACGTTGCATTATAAACAGAAGCCTTAAGGTCTTAATTTTATCAGAAAAGTTGGTTATGGTTGATTCATTTTATGCAGTAAGTCGGCCTTAAACAGTTATGAGGCCTCATTTTTCCTTTTCCTTGATTCCAAGCATGCTTTATGCTAATTCATCCTGTAGTCCTCTGAGAGCTGCCAGACTGTTGAATGTTATGAACAGGGACAGCAAATAAAATTCTGAGTTTTTTGGGCTGGTTAAGTCATATTAAGCAGAAGCTGACAAGAGATGAAAAATGCCCTTGGTGTAGTTTCTCTCCCATCATTGTTCTGTGTAAAATGGACTTTCCTGCTAGGAATATTTAATGACCAACGATTTGAGTAGAGGAATAAAGATCTATAAGGCACAGTATAAACCAGTATACCTTAGCCATAGCAGTCAAGAGGTGTTTCTTTTTTTCAAAGGTACTTAACGGACTTTTTCATTAAGAGGGAAGTGGCTAATGTAAAAAGAAAATAATTGGCAGTTCGTAATGCCATGCTCAGAGTGGAAACAGGTTTGTCTGGGTTCTTTGAACCAAGTAACAGACTGCAAGGGAAATACTCTAGCACTGAATTTTTCATCCCATTGTTCCAAAAAGCTTTTTATATACTGATGTTTTTTTTTCTTTTCTTTTACTTTAGCACTTGCCATCACTTAAAGTATGATATAGTTCTTCAGTAACTCCATTAAAATTAATGAGACTAATTAAACAGAGGAGTCTAAAGTCCTGTTCAGTGTGGGCAGTGTGATTCAGGGAGTTGCAGTGATTCAGCAGAATCCTAGTAGGATTTTCTTGATCTTGAGAAAGGATATTTCTCTTTTAGGTTGTGTGTGTATGAACATGGGTTTTGGTTAAAATCTGTCATTAGCTTAGGACTGATTAGCTGTCCCTGTATAGTAAGAAAATCATGGAATCACAGAATTGTCAGAGTTGGAAGGGACCTGTAGAGATCATCTGGTCCAACTCCTCTGCTAAAGCAGGAACGCCTAGAGCACATCACTCAGGACTGCATCAAGGCGGGTCTTGAAGATTTCAGCAATATGGAAGTAATTCAGAGTGTTATTTCTTTGGCTATAGTTGATACCTAGATAAATAGACTTTAAGAACCTTGATCTTAGCTGAATTGTGTCTGTAATAATTCAAAGAAGGAAAGGTGCCCTGTTTACAACTGAAATACAGAATCTCAAATAAACCAAGCTCGTGCCTAGAAACCTAGTACTTGTGTAATAGTAAAAGCTAGTTAAATATTTCATCAGCTGGTGTTATATAACAATTTTGAGATATTTTCATTAAAACTAGAATTATTAATATGATGAATTGATGGCATTAATGTGATGAATTGAGCTGTTCATATCTGTCTGCAAGATCAATGTGAACTCTTATTTGGTGGCAGATTTGAACAATTTTGTCATTTTGCTAAGTCCAGACAAGTTGGTCGTTTGTCGCTCCAGCTACTATGAGCAGAAATAAGGTTGGTGCCATCAAAGGGCTGATTGACATGAATGCATGCTGAGCCCTGAGCGATGCTTGTAGTGGGATTTAAGGGTGCTGCAGTCTGTTACTTGTGCTGTTGGTTTCTTTGCTCCTGGTCTGAGTTGTTTGTAGAAATGGAGTCACAGGTGATTGGTATAAAGAGACCTTGCTGCAAATTGCTGAAACCAGGTGGTAACGATGGCTGTGTGCTACCGGGAGGCACTGGCAGCAGGGGTACCCAATGAACCCTAAATATCCAGTTAACAAACAGGAACGGAGAGCTCGCTACTGTCAATCTGGTGGTTATTCACCATGTTGAGAGTCATTTGGGGTTTTCAATACCTGTCAGTTAAGATATTAAGATCATCAGGGAGAGGGTGACCTTGTGAAAATTGTATTGACTAGTGGCATCAATACAGTTTGTAAAACAGTTGTAGCAACAGAAATGCAATACTTTTAACTGGGACTGTTTTAGATGTTTGATTTTGTTTTCATCTTTAAAGTGAGGATTTCTGTTCAGAAGGCAAAAATATATTGATTAGGAGATGGAGAAACTATATTCAGTCCTCTGAGGACCTTTTTAAGTACAGGGCTCTGCTAGGGATGGGAGAATCTGCAGCTGCTGCTTTCCCTCTGTGCTTTAGCTTCTCTTTGGCCCTGGGTTCCCTGTGCCAGCTGATGCTCCCTGCCAAATCACGGGGCTGCTGTTGAGGCCACAGAAAAGAGACTTTATTACTTCAACACTACTTGAATACAGGAGCTGCAGGTGATATAATGGAGCAAATATGTCTCTCACAGAACGTATAACATTATTTTGTAAGAACCATGTTCAAGAGCCTCTTCCATAATCCAAGGGTGAGTAGGTCTTTTTATAATGAATGTGAGATTTTTGTTGTGAAATTAAGAAGTAATTAAAAAGTCTGAGCACACTCAGACTGTGCCCAAAATTTAGTTAAACCTCTTGAGCATACTTTCCAGAAGAGTCTAAACCCAAGCCTTCAGGCTTGGATATGTCTGTAGCATTACCATGTGCAGGTAATAGCTTTGCATAATGTTATGCTTCTCTAATAGCAGTTGCACTTATTGAATATTTTGCTGTGAAAGTCTGATTGACTTTCTCATTTGAGGTGGAATGTGGAAGTGATATTTTAATATAAGCTTCAGGGGGAAGGAGATGAAATAGATTCATAACATTTAAACAAGATAGATATATTTTCTTCTCTATTACATATAAATATGCTAAGTTAAGTATGGTTTGTAGACTTGAGTGTGGTTTTTTCTTTTTCGTGTTGAGTGCTGCAGACTGAAGAATCTAGTGAAAATGTTACTTTCCAACATTAATTTCAGGTTTAGAAAATAAGGCTTCTGATATTTTACCCTATTACTTGAAGATGTCTATTCAAATTGTTTTTGAACTTGAATATCACAGCTTCACAGTAGAAAGTGGGGTGGTATTTGTATACCGAAGACAACAGGCTCTGGAATCATGAATCAGCAGCTAACCATTTCCAGGAGATTTAAAAAAAGAGAGAACAAAGTGGATTATAATTTCAAAATGTTGTTATTCTGAAAGTGGTAAGATTCTTCTGTTTGAATGTCGCCCTGTCTTAAGCAGAAAACTTGTCTGTTTTAAATATATGTGCAGTAGAGCTAGAGAGAGACTTATACTTCTTATGATTATTATACATATAACTAAGAAGCATAGTTAAATAATTTCAGGTAGAAACACTTCTTGTAGCTTGCTTTGCTACAATGCTAGGTAGCATTGCAGCGTGTGCATGTATATATATAAAACAATAAATAATGTCTATAACAATAAATAAATAAAGTTCTAATTTACCTCTAATGTTTTGTAAATTAAATCTACTGCATGTCCTAGAATCACTTACTTTTATTGTATCAAAAGTGGAAACGACAGTTTAAAAAAAAATAAGTCATTTTATTGTTTGGTTGAAAAATACTAGATATTAATAGAGCTATGATTTTGTCAAAGGACTTCTAAATCCATAATCTTGAATGTTCACTGAAAAATAGTGTTCCTAAATAAAAGAAATATATTATGAGTACATGTTCTCCTGGATTTGAAAGAGCATCATCCACTGTAAAGCACTTCCATGAGCGTCAGTAGTGGCACTCCAATAGACATTGTGGCTTAAAAATTGTATTGATTTGTCAAGTGTGGCAGAAAAAATAAGTCCTAAAGGAAAAGTGTCATAATGGTGAAGGTATTCAAAGGAAGAAGATTATAGGAAGGTGCTACATTGTGTATTTGTCAACTTGTCTCGTACTTGAGCTGTTTGAGCGCTTCACAGCAACAGCAAAGAGTAGTTGATCTGTCAAGGTGTCGGGCTCTTATGTCAAATGGGAACATATGAAGCTTTCTGTTTTTCTAAGAAAAGCAAATAGAATCATCAGTGTCTTCCCTTCCTTCTCCTATTTTGGATGGATTTTTTTTTTTTTTTTTTTTTTAAGAATAGGATGGTTATTTTTTTTGACAATGGTCATGTTGAAATGGAAGATGTGAATCACAGACGCCTTTATATTGCTGACCTTTCTATGCTGGGGTCCTGTTCGTTTTTAACTGTTTCAGTCCAGGATTGTGCCTGGCTGTTTTCAATGTTCCTTACCTCAGGATAGAGAAATTTCTGTATTTATATTTGTAAAACTTCATAGGATCCTTAATCCTATGTATTTCCTATGATACTCTATGATCCTCAGTGGAGAACATTGTAATTTATTTATTAACTTTTATACAGTCATGGAGTTTGCTCAGCCCCGTGCAGGACCCTGGAATGTGCATGTACTTTGTCCCATGTCACTTTACAAGCTAAAGCAACGTATGGGCAGAAAACCGTTTTGGGTAAAAGTCAAAAGACCTTTTGGGAAGACCTTTTCTCCAAAATATTTATATTGCAATAGATTAATGTTCATATGTTGTTTGGCTGCTGCCTACAAGAAGCAGATATGGATAAGTGAGAACTTTGTGATCATTGTAATTTTTTTAAAAGTGATTTAAATGTGTTATAGTTTTTGATCGTTGGCTGGCATAAATGACCAAGTATCATTGCAGCTTTGGGAAAATTCATTTTTAACTCTTGGGCCAGAAAGAGTCCAGTAATACTTGGTCATGTAGTTTATCTTTCTGTACTATTGCAGTGACATGTACTCTCCAGCAACACTTGTGTTTCTAACTCATGTTTTCTTCTATCGCTTACCTTGTGGAAATTTGGAGAGTAGAAGAAGCTACAGAGGACATGTAGAATATGGTTTTGAGTAGTCCATAGGCTGCAGGCCCTATATGCAGTGGGGGGGACTAAAGCTCAAGAGTATGGCTGGAACTGTCTGACTAATTAGGAAAAGAATTTTCTACTGACATATTTTTTGCTGGATAAAATTGCATACTAATGTAAAGAAGAGCAAAGCATATAGTGCTTCGATGATTTTGACAGGACAAATATTTTAAGATCGTGACAGAACTAAGATGCTGCTTTTTAGCTTTCAGTTTGCATAGTAGGCAAGTATTTTAGATTTCATTCACAAATAAAGCCAGATAGGACACAATAGTACACAAACTTACATAGCTTCCCTTAAATTTCAGAGCGAGCTAAAGATTAAATAAATGTCATAAAGGAGTGATAAATAAGCTCTTAGGCATAGAAAAGTAAAAAGGAAAACATGGTCTCTGGAGAAAAGGCCAGGTTCAGGTGAAAAATTAATGTAAAGTAATCTTACTTATTAATAAAATAACCTAAGTTTTGGAAATTGCCTTTCAAAGGGGAGAGAAAAGTAATTCTACTGTGAGGACATAAAATGTCATTGATTCTCCCTCTGTTTCCAGGTCCTGCCATTGGAGAACAGAATGAAGGACACCACGCGTTTCCCACAGGCACTGAACATTGGCATGGGAATAGTCCTGGCCTTGTACATCTCACTGGCCACTCTGGGCTACCTGCGCTTTGGGGATGAAATCAAAGGCAGCATCACTTTAAACCTGCCACAAGATATATGGTAAGCACATATGTGACTTAAATCCAGTAATCTAGATGGCACAAACATTGCAAAAGTGGTTCCGTGCCTCAGTGCTGTCGTGCTTGTAACTGGTATGGGCTCAAACTCTTTTAAAAGTGTCCTCTCTCTGTGCCTCCTACAGCTGAGCTATGACCCTAGCCAGCCATTTCTTGCATATTAAAAAGAATTTCAAATGGAACAGATCAATGATCTTTGCAGTATTTTGTCTCTAGCAGAAGCTAGTTCCAGGCGTATTGAAGGAGGGAATAAGCAGTTTGCAGCCAGCTGTATTGCAGTTCTGAAACCAGCTAATATTACCTTGGATATTGTGGTCATGTAGTGGCCTTTTTAGTGGCATCCCTAAGTTTAGCAGATAAACTACTGGAATAGAAGACACCAAAGCTGAATAGATGACATCAAAGCTGGATAGATTTGTAGTTCAGATGCAAGTCTATGGATAATGGCTTCTAGTCAGGAAAATCAAGCTTTTGCTTTCCAGTGTCTCAGGGATATTACAATTTTTATTAAGTTTGTTTTTTTTTTTTTTTAATGCTATGAGTCTTCCACATGTCATATACTGAAGAAGCACTGAAGACTATGTCAGCTGGTGCATTGCTTGTTCTGTATGTATCTATGGATGGATATATACTGTAACTAGTAATTTAAATTCCTCCTAATTTTTTAGTACCTTTATGTCCGATTGGCCTAAAATTTGGTATATCACCAGTGTACAAGTCTAAAAGCTGAAAAAAGTTATTTTAATGTTTTCATTCTGATCAAGTAATATCTTATATGTTGTATGCTTATATCTACTTGTTCGGTGTCTGTTGTGATAGCATATTGAAGTAGTGAAATCCCAAATTCTGTGAAACACACTGCTTTGCTGGACTGAATGCTGACTCCTTTTTTTTTTTTTTCTCTTTGAAGAGAGTAGAACACATATAAAGAGTGTTCTTAATTTTCAACTGTTACTTTTTCACTCTCTTTTTTCCATTTTAATTTCTTGGAGTCAGTATGAGCTATGCTTTTTTAATACTCTTGAAAAGTTTTGTTTAGTTGCCTCACCTATAAATACATGATAATAAAATGCATCTTGAAAGATGATTGGTTTTTTCAGTTGCTAGAATTTTCATGTGTCTGTTTTTGCTTTTTTGCTTGTTTTATCTTTGTATGGAGATTTGGGCTTCAATTTTTTGCCCGTTTTTTCCTATTTTTTCCCCATAGTTCTGTTTTTTGAGGCATATTACTCATATATATGTTTCCTTTCATTGGACATAAAGTAAAAAAACCTGGAAGTATTCCAACATTACTGCATCCATTCTGTCTATATGATGCATCTGAGAAGGAAAATACTTCCATTTGTAATATTACATGGTATTGCTCATTGTTGATACGATTAGTGAAAAGTTTGTTTTAAATGGTAGATCTGGGTTTATTTGTGCCTTAAGTGCTCTTAAAGGAGGAGGAGTGAGAGGAATGTGGAATATAAGGTGAAGGTGCTCACTCTTGCTTCTTGCTGCACTCATGCAAGCAACAGGATTCTCTGTGATATATGTATTATAAATATTATTCTCCTGTAATATTCTGAAGCCCTGCTGTCGAACAGGGCTGTTCAAATAAGAGTTTTCAAATAGCTCTTGGCTACAGTGCAGATGGGATGATAATATGATATTTATCCTGATGGTTTTATAGACCTACTGCAAAGAAAGATAATAAAAGAGATGGAAACTGGTGTTCTTTAAGGTGAAGAATTGGCATTATGAGTTTAATAGCCTCAGAGCTGCCCTGGGCAAAGTCATCTGTTTTTGTCTTACCTTGGATAGTACCCCAGAGCACCAAACAAAATCAGAAGGAGAAGCAGCTCAGTGGTACGCCCATGGGTGGTGATGTACGGTGCTATTGCTGTGCAGTACTGCCCGATAGAGTACTGATGAGCAAACGTGTGCAATTAACTGTGCTACCAAAAACAAATTTCCAGCCAACCATATGACAGTGTTTTGTCATTTGATCCTCATATAAAAAGCCAGTAAGTGGCCTGATTGAACTAGAGAAACGCAAAGAGCGGATGAGTTTTTGTAAGAAAGCAGTCATGCGAAAGCTCCTGGAACGTAGCAAAGCAGTGAGGCTTGGCTTATGTGTTTAATTCCAGCTGGGCAATCCTTGTCTTAAAAATAAGCCTTTCCTGATAAAGAAAATCTAAATTCTACTGCTTTTTGAGTTTTAGTTGATGTCTCACAGGTGAATTGACCAGAAGGCATATACAGACCAGTTAAGTCCTTAAGTTTTAGTTAAGTAGGGGGCTGCTTTATTCTAAAAAACATTCTCCTAGATTAGAGCTTTTGGAGAAGAGACTTGTTACAGTTCTAGTTTAAACGTGTCTTGGAGCACAAAGCATTGGTCAGCATGATATATTAATTAGAATATGTTGAAAATTGACTATGAAAACAGTAGTTCTCAGCTTTTTTTTCCTGATCTTTAACAACAACAACTTTCTAGAGTCAAGGAATTCTATTTTATTGCATTAAATAACTGAGAGGACACACGGGCAGAGACTGTAGTTTACCTGACTTATTCATGATCACAAAGTGCCTCCAGACTGAAGCCAAGTAAGCTATTTATAGACAAAAAGCGCATAGAATCATAGAATGGTTAGAATTGAAAGAGACCTTAAAGATCATCTAGTTCCAACCCAACCTTCCACTAGACCAAGTTGCTTAAAGCTTCATCCAACCTGATCTTCAGCACTTCCAAGGATGGGGCATCTGCAACTTCACTGGGCAACCTGTTCCAGTGTCTCACCACCCTCATAATAAAAAATTCCTTCTTTGTCCTCGGCTAGGGTCTCATCTTCTTGAGGCTGAAGGTTCTTTCCAACATCTGTTCTTCATTAATCTATAAGTGACAGTCTTTGTGCTGTAATCCCCTTACTGTAAATCCCAAAGGTTAGCTACCATGCAAATATTATAGCATATAAAGTTCAACACGATGTTACGTGGTACTAGTTCAAACAGTAGCTAAGCATAGTTAATGCCAAGTCTAGCTGTAGTGATATACAAGTTTTGTCACACTAGTTTCTAATTTTTTCCCCTTAAAAGAGATACAACGAAATCTAAAATGTAGAGTTGGAGAGAGACAGGCTTTTGTTAACTTCCTTTAGCACATATGAATGATTTAGAATTTTTTCTAGCCTTAGGGGGCACTCCTTCAAATTTAAATAAATAAAATTTCCCGAGGTGCCTCCTTCCCAGAGTGACAAATCTTTTTAAGCACACTTTGTGAATATGTAGAAATCTGGAGGATATTTGTGTTGGTCTTTAAAATGGCCAATGTTTATTGCCACTGTGGAATGTTTATCAATGTACAGCTTATATTTGATGTGAATTTGGAATTTTTTTTTCCAAAAAACTGCCCATTGATTAACTTGTTCTTTAAATTTATTCACTTATGATTGTGGAATATTGATTATTTTTTTTGACTTTGGCTCATATTTTGGTAGCATGGTTATCTTCTGCAGTTTCATAGGCAGTTATAACTTGCAAGCAGATAATGTTATCTTCTTGTTTGCTAGGGGGAAAAATAATTTTTTTATATATATAGCCTTAGTGCCATTAGCAAGCCAATTCTTTATGAAGAATTTGCAATTTCTATCAATTTGCAATCTGTGATTCTGTGATTTGCATGAACGTGTGTAAATGTTTTCAACAGGTTGTATCAGTCTGTAAAAATTCTGTACTCCTTTGGGATTTTTGTGACCTATTCGATTCAGTACTACGTCCCTGCAGAGATCCTCATTCCAGCTGTCACCTCCAAAGTGGAGCAGAAGTGGAAGTTACTCTCTGAGCTTGTGGCCAGAGCACTATTAGTCTGCTCAACCTGTAAGTATGTGCAGAACATCCATAAAATAGCTCGCTATTACATGTTGTTGGGGACCTGCTTATTTAAATACATGTTTTGTTATTTATTTTTCTGTAGGCTAGCAAACCTGAAATTTCATTTCAATGATTCAGTATGTTTTGACTTGTGAATCTAACGTTGCATTTGTATTTTAACTGTTTTTTTATGTGTGATCAATTATTTGACAACTATATCTTTTTCCAATAGTACTCTGAAGCTGCCAACTTGAAAATAATTTTCTTAGAATAATATTTTTCCAGTGATTTTATAATCACTGGCAAACACAGGTTCCTGGTCAAAGTGTTTGTGGAAGGCTGCTTAATTTTGGTGATAATGCTCCACAATAGTTTAGTATCTCTGCCCTCAGTGCCTGTCACTTCTATTGTTTTTCTCGCTTTCCCCCCACTCTTCCCATCGCTCCTCCTGTGTCCCTGCCTGTCTCAGAGTCTGGATATCACCAGCAGTAATTGGCAGCACTCCTTGGATGGTGAGCCATGACCTCATCTAGGAATCAATATTCCTGAAGATAATAACCTGAGGAGGAAGTTTAGGTTTGTCTTTACAGCTCCCATCTGAAGTGCTGAATAACATAGGAAACTTTTCTCAAAGATGTTTTAAAAAAAATTGTTTCTAATACAGAGCTGGCTTCTTGACTCCACCATTTGTACTGAAATGAGCTGTTTCCCTTAAAAAGAACAAAAGCTGCCAAACAAAAAATCCCAAGCCTTTTTTTTAGGGGGGAAATATTGATGAAAAAGTAGAATTTAGTTTTTGTTGGCTCTGTTCTGTCTCTACTGGTGAGTACTGACCAGTGATCGGTATGCTGGATGGCAGTCAATGGTTGTCTGCTGTGAGAGAGAACTTGAACATCCAGTGAAGCCTTAAGGTCAAGCCTGTTGAGAGAAACAGTTCAATGTTGGTGCAATTTAATTATTGCAGTAAGCAAAGGGAAATATCATTGATCTAGTAACTTGCTGCTCTGAAAATACATCTGCTATGTGAAATTAAAAAAAAAAAGTGAAAACTTTCTTGCATAGTGAAGTGCTGATCTCCTGAAGCACCATGTAGCCCATGTTCTGCTTCTAGTGTTCATGGTGTGTTGCAAACCTGTTCAGATTTTAAGACTGAGGGTAGATAAATAGCCCTTGTAATACCTGAGAAACATCTAGATCAAGCTGCTTCAAGCTCCAAAATGCTTTTTAGTGTCTCTCTAGGACACCAGTAAACTCTCCAGCCTTAATCATCTTGGTATTATGAGGCCCTCAACTTCCACTCGTTCTCTGTTTTATGTGCCCCTTATAGCCTGCCATGAAAACGGTATCTCAATACATTTGAAAAGCTAAAACCCTTGTAGATCCAAAGTGTTGTTTATAGCTGAAGGCTTCCAGTGTTTATAGGTGAAAAAGATGCTTTCAGCAATGTGTCTGAGAGAAGAGCCTGTGGTGAATAGGTTTGAAAACACATTTGCCTGTTTGACTTTGGAGAATTAGAAATGACTCTATGATATTCAGCCCTAAGTGGTTTTTTTCCTTAATTTTATTATTGAGCTTTGTACTTACTGGGTAGTCTGGGAGGGCAAAGCTGGGGAAAAATCTCCCAAGAAATGGAAGTAGAAAAAGAAAGAGAATTAACTTTAAAATCTGGAAGAGGAGTCTGCAAAAGTTAAAAGGAAATGAAGCAAATCAGAAGTTGGGGTACCTTGTGAGCATGACCTGAAAATGGAGTGGTTGCCTATAGGATATGATTAACTCCAGTTGGATGAATTGGGACAGGAAGAATCAAATCCACCATGAATTGTGGTAGGTCCCTTTTCCCAGTGGTATGTTGACATGTATTCTGTTTTATTCTTTTTGTTTTCATGCAATTGTGCATTGTGATTTTTTTCAGATTTTTTTTTAATTAAAAACCAGCAGCTAATGGCCTTTCTTTTCTGAAGGCATAATAAATACTTTTAAATGATTCAGTATAAAGTGAATGCTCTATCTTTATTTCTTTTTAAAAAATGTGTGTAGTGAGATTGGACCTGGTTTGTGCCCTAGAAAATACTCTGTGATGCGAATCTCTAAAACAGACCTGCTGAAGTGTTACTGAGATGTTTGAGGGTATTAGATTGTTTGCTGCAAGGCACAGAAAGATAAAACTAGGAGTTTCCTCTTAAATGTTTTATATTTTCCAGGCTGTTGTGTGATATGTTGTGTTTATCCTAAATGTCATTTCAGTTTTTTTCAAGTAGTTTCTACAAATGCTATGCATGCAGTATCTATAATGCTTTTTCTCCAGCAATTGTGTGTGTGGGCTCCTGTGCTTACACTCCTCTTCTATTTGTCAGTTTTCATTGAAGCATTGGTTATAAATCAGAATTGATAGGGCTTTGCTTTCAGTAGGTGCACACCGTGGTTCTGAAAATGATTCAGAAAAGTGTTTCCTTATTAGAAAGAAAAAGCCTGAAACGTTTTAAATTGAGTTTTTAAAATTAAATGGTTCTGGTATCAGTGACAGAATATGTTGTAATGTCTGGACAACTCAGAGATCGTACACTGATTAAAGGGACTCTGCCTGCTTGAAAATAATTCTCTAAAAAGAGAAACTTCAGCTGTGTTATAACACATTAGCTTATTAAGAGAAGACTGGAAGAATCAGTTATTACTGATTTGGGGGGCTTTTGTATTTCTCAAATAAAAATCAATGAGGTCATGGTTTTATTGTTACAGTGTATCAGAAACTTTGCTGGGATAAAGCATACCCTGGACCTTTTTGTTTTTGTTTTGCCTGGTAAGGTTTGCTATAAGTAGGAGCTTGAAAAATGAGTGCAGATGTAACATGCATCCAAAAAACCATGTGCCGTGCTTATGGTTTTTCATTATTTACTTGCTCTGTTTTGCATACTTAGCATTGCAGGAGGATAATCACAAGTAAATTATGTATTTTTAAATTTGCATGTTCTGCTTCCTCTGCTCTTGTTCCACAAAAAGACAGTTGACCCTTAATGCCACTAGTCCGAGGCAAGCCTTAAGCCTGGGGCAGGGGAAGAGCGTCCCCAGCCCTTGGGAAGCACGTGGCTGGGCTGGCCGGTTGTCACCCAGGGAGTAGGTCCATCTTTGCTCCCTGAGCCATTCCCAAGGAGCAGTGAGATCACCCGGACTCTCTTTCTAGACAGAATCGGTAGTTAAAGCTGTTCAAAAGATTGTTTTCTACCATATTGGAAAGGAAATTACAAATAGATTTAAGAACAATGTTTGCAGTAGCTGTCTGAAATTTTACATCTGTTCTTAGCAGCTTTTTCAAGACTCTGACACGGTATTATTCAAGATAAGTGCAAAATCTAGGGAGTATTTTTGCTGGGAGAGTGCTGGACTGGCAAAAGTATGCTTTTCCTTTGTTTATAGCCCCTTGTTTATACATTTTGAACAAGGAAATGGTGAGGGGAAATGATTTAAAGCACCTTGTTTCCCTGCTGCTTTTCTCTCTTCTTCCAATGTAGTTTAATGTTAAAACAACATCATAGTGTTGCATGCATAAAATTGCAAGTCAAACTGAATTGTAAGGAAAAGGAGGGGGAGGAAGAGTTTCCACTTCATGTCGTGTAGAACACTTCTCTCCATTTCATTTGCAAGAGATGTGCATCTCTTCATCTTTGCTTGGGTTTCACCATGTAAGGTGTGGCACATTGGAAGATGTCACCATAGTTCATGAATCATAACATGGAATGGTTGTTTTACAAACTCAGGTGAGCACCCTGTGCACTGACTGGAGGGATGAGCAAGGCTTCTGGTGAAAGTCCAGAGTAGAGCTGGAGACTGGGTTTGGTAGTTGTTGAAAGGAGGTGAGAGCTACGATTGAAAGGTGGACTAACCATCACTGTGGGGGACAAAGTTACAAAGTAGGGACACATACAAACAGAATGGGGCAAGAGCCACCATAGGATTTGGAAAGACCTGAGGACAGATATGGAGGTGCAGTGCTGTGTGGATGCTCACTGGTTGTGCTTGGAAGTTCATTACTACAGGAGTCCTCCAGACACTTGCCTAAGGACTTCCAGCAGCTGCCTGCATTGCTGCCTTTGCCTGGTGACTTGCCAGCTTTGTTCTTTGGTGGGTCAATTCAGCTTATTGTAACATTATAGAGATAGTCCTTGTAAGACACGAGGACGGAAAAATCTATCTGATGGTGCTCAGAAAGTACAACCACATCCTTATAGTTTCAGTAGGTTCTGTTACTTTTGCGTATGAATTTTTATTTGAAGTGTAAATGCTCCTCATTTATTTCTCTCACAGATTTTACTTAGTGTATGTGGTGTTTGAATGTCAGAAAACTTCAATACTTCGCAATATTTGTCAGGGTGGAATTTTCACAATGCTGAAAGTATTTGCCCTGATTTTGTATCTTTAAAACACGTCACAAAAATAGTTTGGATCTGTGTTTGCTGCTTGGATAAAGGTTGGGCACTGTGTCTGTGCCCATGCGATGGGGTTGTGGCTACTGCATGTTGGCATTAACCATTTGAAAGTGAAGCTTTTTAGTTTGCTTCTGAAGGAACTGGACCATCCTGGCCGAGTTTTTAGAAGTTTTATTAATATTCTTACATAGAACAGTATACGTTTTCTTTTTGGAGAGACTAGTTTGGGAGAACAAGAAGAAACTCTTCTACCTAAACAAGACCTGTTTTGTGCATTGCTTGAAGTAAGCTGCCTTTATATCATGGTGAGATCACATAATTCTGGAATGGGAGATTTTGGAGAGGTTTTGTTGAGCCACGGTTAACTCTCCTGTGTTAACTGCAAAATATGGTGAGCACATTGAGATTGAGAGGAGATGTAGAGATCATCAGCTTCATCTGATGCATTCAACCAAGCGTTAGTCATATTGATGCTAAATAGCATCAAATATATTCACTTCTATTGATGCTTCTCAGTGAAAATTGTGGTTAAAAAAATTCAGGATGGGGGCAAGAATATACATTTCTAGTTGAATTTAAATGTAA